GTGTGTGTGTGTGTGTGTGTGTTAGTGTGTGTGTGCTGTAATCATTTAACATGTTTAAATCCAATGGGGCCACGTGACAGTTGGATTTATTTTATTTTATTATTATTAATTTGTTTATTTTTAGTAGGTGGGATCCACGTGGAGGAGGGAGGGGTGGGGTGGGAGACAAAAGCAACTCACCTGCTGGTTGGCTTTGGATTTGTATTTATGTATGTGTGCATTTACTTTGTTTGCTTTTTTTATTGTGATCATTTGCTTGCTGTGTATTATGGAGCTGCCTTGTTCCAGCCCCGCGGTTCCCGCGCTGCAGTGGATTGATGTTAAGGGGGATGTTCCCCTGGCTTTGGCGCGTGATGTCTGCCGCGGAGATATGAGTGCGCCCGGGCCCTTTGGGTTGTCTAAAAGGTCGCGGACGGCCTCGCCGGCTTTTGTGCTGATAACTCCTGGGTGTATGTGGTGGGGAGCGTCCAAATCGACACCATATGTTTTCCTATTAGTCCACTTGCAACAGAACACAAGGCGCGTAATCAGCGCCAGCGGGGCCAGAGCAGAGCCACTCTCTCTTGGCCACTTGAGGGAATTGATGATGAAGCCTTAACCTTTTTTTATTAGTGTTCTTTTCATGTTTCATTTTACATGATCTGAGGGTCTTTATTGATCTGGAGGATTTATATGGTGGTCGTAAATCAGGAGGTGGAGAACAGGCCAATTTCTCCCCCCTCCCCACGCCCCGCGTAAGAAGTCTATTAATTCCCCTTAATCCTGGAATTACCAAAGAGCAAAGCGGGATGATATTGGATTTACTATCAATCAGATCCACGCTGGAAGATTATTAACACATTGCGGCCTAAAGAGGGATCTGCTGCTCGGTTAAACAGGGTTTTATAATCAGTCAAGTATGAAGAAGGCTTTTTTTGTTGTTGTTTGTTGTTGTTTAAAATAAATAAAGTCGAGCAGATTTGGGTGTAAAAAGACACCCACCGACTTGCACACAACAGGACCGCGGTGGCTGTGAGCGTTTGTTGTCAAATACAAACAAGGAGGGAGAGAGGGAGAGAGAGAGAGAGAGAGAGAGAGAGAGAGAGAGAGAGAGAGAGAGAGAGA